TTACTTTATCTATATTATTTTATTAAATAAATTTAACAAAAATATTAAAGTCTTAAAATTTTAAACGACCAAAATACCTTTAAAAATCTTAAAATCTTGAATTAAAACACAAAGTATTTATTAACAGCTCAATCACTCCCAACAATACATACCCCTCAATTGCTTTTAGCTTCCCAAGACGACTATTCAAATTGATTTTAGGTTCCCTCCTCAAATTGATTTCCCCAAGATGACTTCTCAAGCTTCCATTAATGATTCAATCTCATATATATCAATCCATCGCACCTCTTCCGTGCCAATCTTCAAGCTTCCATCGTCATCTTTCTTCAGGCTTCCATCTTCATCTTCCTTCAGGCTTCCATCGTCATCCATCGCTCCTCTTCCGTCGCTCCCCTACTCGAATCAGGTAAAAACACATGATCCGTACCTCCATTTCCCTACCCTCCTCCTCTATCTTCCATACCTTGGGGTTTAATCTCGTTAATGGAATTGTAGACAGTATTTAGGGTTTTTATTCTGAAAGACCTTTTCAATTTCATACCAAAATCTTTGCAAATGTCGTTTTTGACATTGAAAACTCCATTTTAATCATCACGTTCTTCTTCGTCATCATCTGTTCTTGCATTATGTCAAAGTAATCAGTTACGATCATGTTCTTCTTCGTCGCTATATCTTCCTAGAAATCGAACGTTTAGCAGAGGAAAATTAAGATGGAGAGCTGAATCTCAACACCAGGATTTTTCGAGAAACAGCAATAGTAGTGATTCACAACAACCTAACGGTTCCGTGGTAAGTTCTTTTGTATAATTTTGTTCAGATTTTGGAATATCTTCTTGTTGTTGTTAGCCGATAGAAAGTAATTACCGTATACTATTTTTATTCGTGTTGTATATAGTTTTGACTTGTTGCTTTTTAAGTCCAAGTTATGAATTTGTTAAAGAAACGAACCAAAATTTCTTTCAGAAATGAGACCGAGATTTTTTACAGATATAGATCAAATTGTTTTGTAAGAACGGAAAAATATATAAGGGCAACTCCAACCATTACACTAAAAAAACACCAAAAACACCAAATCTTGTGGACTCATAAACACCAAAAAAAAAAACTCAACTCCAATCACACTCTAAAAAAACACTAAATTTGTGGACCCCACATTAAATAATAAATATAAAAACCTAAAACTTAATATTTATAATTATTTATTTATTTATAATTTATTTAAAAATATTAAATATTGAAAAAAGATGGTGGGGACCACCAACTTTGGCAAGATGCCGTTCTTCTTCTCCCCGGCATATTTGCCGTTCATTTTCAGCAACGGGTATAGATTTAGTGTTTTTGGAAGTCGATTGGATCCAAAAGAACGGCAAAACTAAGGTTTTGCCGTTCGATTGGAGTTGCCCTAATAAGTTTGTGGAAAGCAATATATTTGGAAAATTTCTTTCACATGGATTCTTTGAATAATTATTAGTTTGTGCCTTGTGGAAACTAAAGTTTACTAACAAATCAAAATGGAGAGAATGAACATGGCAAAAAACTTCCCAAGCTGGTGAAAACTGAAATTTTATAAATGGTAGACGTATCAGGTTCTCATTATTATCTCTTTTTTTTTCTCGTGCAAGTAACTGGAGGGGTGGGTTTGAGGAGGTTATGAGAGGTTTGCTTTAGTGGCAAGACTTGTCTGTAAGCAATTTCCAGCATCTTTTGGCATTTTATGGAATATCATGTTGCTTTGTTTCCTTGAAATAGCTTAATCTCTGATGCCACACATTTTTGTGAGGTTTGAGGAATGATGACATGTGGTTAGGATCAAACTATGATGATATGTTTTACTTAAAAGGCTACCTGGGTATGGGGTAATCTAATTAGGCATGCCACAATAAATTAGGTATGCATTCTAAAGACATGGTAGCATGAGACGGTAATCTGTACTTATAACCATCCCCTACGCTCTTTAAATGAGTAGGATATTATTATAAGAAGCAATGTTTTTCATTTAAAAGAGTCGGTTTTCGTAAAACTTGCATGTTCATAATCAGTTGATATCGATCATAATCTTTCTGAACCAACTGCTACTAAGTTGATTGGTAAAGCATGCAATGGATGTTGGCATGCTACTTGACTTGGGTAACCCTATATCCTAAGTAGTTAAATCACTATAAAGCATAACTTACAAGCAGTACTACTAAGTACCTATTTTATACAGTACATGTGAAAAAAATTACAAAGTTTCCCTAAACATGTCCATCACCCAGTCAGTCAAAGAGAATGAAATGTGATCGGAAGCTGGATATATTGGCTAAAACAGTAAGTTCACAAGTCCCATTGCAAAGAAAGGTGATCAATTAATGAAAAGACACAATGTCTTTACATTTGGAAACTAAATTCGTATGTGAAAAGATCTTAGAGTTGTATCTTCAGTTTCGATTCATTCTAGACTTACTTAAGAAGCATTGGAATAGATCCATCGTTCAGACACTGAAATTGAGTAATCGACTTTTGGGTGGCGGTGGGTCTAAAGACCCATTTTAGTTTTTTTTTGGGTAGTTGATTTTTATGAGTGGATGAATCTTTGAATCTTTCCTATGTACCAGTTGATGATAGAGAAAATCCCATCTAGCTTTGAATCTTTCCTATGTTATACGTTGAAAATATAAAATATACATGAGTTCTATAGTAATTACTGGTATAATTTGTTAAGTGAGTGGATTAATGTCAACTTTTCAACCTTCTTTTTCATATGGAAGCAACTTTAATTGAGCAGTACCAGTACCAGTAATTTAATTGTTTCAGATCTTCCATTTTGGCTGGAACCATTTGGGAATGGGAATACGGTACCAGTACCAGTTGATGATAGAGAGCACCCCATTTGTCTTTTGAAAATGCTTGGAAAATATTATATGTTATATGTTTGAATCTTTCCTATGTTATATGTTGAAAATATCATATACATGAGTTCTATAGTAATTACTGGTATAGTTTGTAGAACTGTAGTTTTTGATTGACAGTTGTATACACCGGTGAATACTTTGACATCTCTTCATTTGCAAATAATTCTCGATGTGAAAACACAGAGACAAAGGGCTGATCTTTGAATAGAAAAAAGAGTGGGTCTGCAGGGTCCCAAATGAATTGGCCTATTCGAAAAAGGCCTTGTTCTTTGGAAGATCTATCTCGTGTCTGGTACTGCATGGTTCCACTCTGCAAGAACTCCGAATCATTCTCTTGAAGCTCATCCTCTTCATCATAATGATCCGCTTGCCCCGAAATGACCTGGACCAATAGGGAAATCCCAATTCATTGGGCCTTTCGATACAATCTAATAGAAAGCCCCAAGGGAGCCATATTCTAGGAGCCCAAACTATGTGATTGAATAAATCTTCCTCTATCTGTTGCGGGTCGAGGGCTCCTTCTTCTTCCCCCTCTTCAAACTCCGATTCGTCTTTTTCATAGAGAAATCTTTGATCAACCCCTCCCAGTTAAAAAACAGGTTATTTCCAAATATTATTTGTGGATTGTTCTTCCTTGCTGTAGCTTTTTGTACTTGCCGTCAATATTGTGAACACTCAACGGATGTTATTTGTCATGATTTCAGGTATTGCTGGTGTGCCAAAAAATCAACTGAGTTCTGTAATGTATGTGAAGACTTGGGAAATCAACTTACTCATTCCATGTTCTTAGAAAACAACAAACCTCGAAAAGATCTTATGATATCCATTTTTCCATGTTTTTGTTCATAATTCCAAATCCTTTTATATTATTGATTTGGATTTCTTAAATTTTGTAGTAGAAGGTTGAAATGGAGGATGTATTTGTAGAACCAATTATCAAAGGAGTTCTATCTTAGGGCATGATGTTGTAATTGTATCATAGGTAATAGTTGTTGAGTAGTCTCTCTTCCGTTAATTTTGATCATTTTTCTCTTTAAAGTTTTTTAATTTAATGTTTCTATATGTTAAAGCAACTATCTATCATATTTTTGGTTTATGTAGTGCATATGTATCCCCCTTCTGCAAATCAGGGAAAAAAAGTGAGTTCAAAGAAACCTATCATTTGATTTTTAATTTTCTTTACAATCCGACCAAATTACCAATTTTATTCCTTTTCTTAGATTCTTACACAGATTTTTATCGAATTTTGGTACATAGGACCGTTTACCTAATGCTTACCCGAATTTTTATTATTTTTGTTATCTATCTTTTGTTTAAGTATTCCTCCAAATCCTAAATCACTAGCATCTGTTTCTACGATAATTTGAGCATTATGATGGGGTATATTAAGACATGGTAAATATTTGACTTTTTCTTTGATATGTTTGACAATCTGAGTATGTTTTTGAGTCCATGGTTCTGATTTCTTTTTTAATCTTTGATAAAGGGGTTTATATATAATTCCTAAGTCTTTAAAGAAATCATGAACATAATTTAGACAACCTAAAAATCTTTGTAATTGAGTTTTATCTTTAATTTCATCTGTAAATTTATTTGCAAATTCTAAACTTCTTTGAATAGGCCTAATGGTTTGATTGATAATTTCATGTCCTAAAAATCTTATTTGTGTTTGGAAAAGACTCATTTTTGGAGCAGATACGACTAATCCATTTTTGTAAATTAAATCATAAAAAATATTTAAATGTTTAAAATGTTGATCAATGGATTTTGAAAAAATTAATACATCATCAATATAAACAATGGCGAAATTGCTTATAGGAATGATGATATCATTCATTATGTTCTGAAATTCTAAGGGTGCATTTTTTAAACCGAAAAGCATAAAATTCCATTCATAATGACCAAAGGGAACGTTAAAACATGTTTTATACTTATCCTCTTCATGTATTTGTATTTGCCAAAAACCTGATTTCATATCAAATTTTGAGAAAATATTTGAATCATAAAGTTTCTTTAATAAATCTCTTTTACTGGGAATAGAATATCTAATCCATTCTAAAACTTTATTTAGTGGTTTATAATTAATACTTAATCTTGGTGCACCTCTTTCTAATTCTGTAGCATTCATTACATAGAAGGCTGAACATGACCATGGTGATTTTGACGATCTTATTAATTTTTTGTCTAATAAATCTTTAATTTCTTTCTTCCAATGTTCTTGTAATTCTATAGACATATGGATTGCTCTAGATTTAGAAGGGATATCTTTTTCATCAAAATCTTTGATATAAGGTAATTTAACTATGTGTTGTTGTCTTTTCCAAAAGGCATTAGATATATTCGAGCAAACATTATCTTCAAATTTCTTCTTGATTTGTTTTATTTTATTTTGATTAACTGAATCTAATAATTGATCATTTATTTTTAGATTATTTATTTCATTTCTTAAATAATTTACATGATTAATTTTATTTTTTAATGCATTAATTTATGTAGTTATCATTGGTTTTGTAAAATTAAAAACTAATTCTTTATTTAATATCTTAGTGCTAATTCCTTGTTTAGAAACTGAAAAGGGTATGATTTTGAGAAACAAAGGGTAATCTTAAGATTAAAGTTGAAGTTTTAAAGCAATAATCTTCTTTACATATATGAACATCTGAGACTTTGTATTTAATATTTAAAGGTGAACCTTCTACTCCTGATAATCTATGAGAAGTGTTTTCATAATATTTAGTGGGTATAATACCTTCTTGGATACAATTCATATCAGCACCACTATCTATTAATGCTACTACTGTAATTCTAAATTCATTCTTAACACAAAGTTCTATAATTGTTTGCCATCTTTGTATATTGATTCTTTTTGAAATCTTATGAACAGTAGGATTTTCTACTTTAATTTTATTATCCAATTCTTCACTATCAAAAGATTCTTCATCCTGAATTATTTTTTTTTATTTTTTTCTACTTTAGATAATTTATCTTTAATTAATCTTATATCTGTTTTTACATTATTTAATTCTTCTTGTAACTCTTGAACATTAGCTACTTTTGGTTTATTAAATCTTGAAAATACTTCTTGAAGATTAAATTCTTCTGTTTGGACTATAAGTTCTTTGGGTTTATTTAGATCAAAGAATTTGTCAGATATTTCTTTCTTAACTATTGCATCTGTTATTTGTTCTAATAGATCGAATATTCTTTTATCTTTGTCTGTGATTACATTTACTCGATTACAAGTACAATTACCTATACATTCACATTTTGAATCTGAATTAGACGAGATCGAACTATTTTCTATAATATTTAAATCATTTTGATCCTAATCAGATAAACTAGATTCACTAGAACTATCTTCATTAAGAAATAATTTATTCAGCTTATCTGTTAATTGATCTGAAAGATTTAATTCTCTAATTCTTTTCTTAACATAACAATCTCTTGCCATATGGCCTGTTTTACCACATTTATAACATATAACTATATTTTTTGAAACCTTTTGTTTATCTTTGTTGTAATTTGGCTTTTTTATAGTTTTCTTATATGGTTTATTCTTCTTATAATCTTTATTTGAATATCTTCGTTTTGAAAAATGTTTCTTTCTTTTTGAAGAGGGAGTTTTAACTGGTTCAAGACCATATTGTTCACAAAAATCTCCTAACTCTTGTTTTCCTGAAATTCTATCATTTTTGAGCTTAGCATTTAATTAGATTTGCATAAATCGCTAATCCTTCTTTATTAATTTGACTAATTAATTTTTCATATGCTAAATCTTTATAAGTTATTTGATTATTATATTTATCTCTTAAATTATTTCTGACCTTTTCTGCAAATAAATTCGGAAGTCCTGCTATAAATTTTTCTTTCCAATAAGCTTCCTTACAATCTGGTCTTAACATTAATTTAGTTAAAAACATGTCTTTATACCATCTAAAATCTTGAAGTTTTCTACAAGTTAGATTTAATAGAATTTCTTGAAAAACAGTTGGATCTCCTATGAAGTTTTTAATAATAGCAAAAAGTAAAGTATTGATTATATCATCTTCTTGAGAGGAAATTTGTTGATTATTTTCAGTTTTTATCATGGTCTTTTTAGCGGTTAGAATAATGTGTTTTTCTTCGGGTGAGACGTATTGCTCCCACCACCCCCTTAAAATGCCTGTGAATCCGGAAAGGAGTAACGAGGCAATTGCGGTTTGATTATTTCCTTTAGACTTATAGGCGTTAGCTGCCATATTTAATTCATTAATGAAATTTAATAGTTGATGTTCTGAATATCCATCTATATTCCATTCATATACTTAATTACCATCAAATTGACTTCGATTTAAGGCAAAGTCTCTATCTTCATATTGAACATCAGGAAATGTTGGCCTAGGATAATAATTAAATGTTTGTGGTCTACTAGTAGAGGCATATTATTTCCTTTATATCTAAGTCTATTTACTTTACTCGTATGATTTATAAATTGATCTTGTATTTGAGAAATTTGTATTTCATCATCATCATCGTCAGATGAACTATTATTGTCTTGATTTTGACTAATAGTATTTATTTTTAGATCTTTGTTTAAATTTAGTCCTGATAATTTTTCTCCTAATTCTCTAATTAACTTCGGACTATATCCTAAGTTTGCATTGTCAGCTATCTCTTGAGGTTTGAATAAAGGATTAGATTCAAGTTTTATTATTTGTTTAGAAGGAGAAGTAGTATTTATTTTTACTTCTTTATTTTGATTACTTTCTATTCTATTTAACTGTTGACTCATCGTATTTAATATTTCATGTGTATAATTATTTTGATAAACAATGTMTTTTGTTAATTCTTCTCTAAGTGATCCTGTATTTACTTTAACTAAGGGCATTGCTAAATAATTTCCTTGGATATGTATATTAGTTTTGGGTGGATGAATCGAAGTTACATCTTTATTTTCTACTATATCTCTATATGTTTGAGTAATCTTTGGGGTTTGATAAAGTTTTAAAAATGGATTTTTTATATTATTTTGCACGCATAACATTTCATACCATTCAAAGAAAGTCATATGAACATTATTAGTTCTTACAAAGTTTCTCCAATCTATTTGATGTCTTAGCTCTGTTTGATAATTATTAACATGCTTTGTATACCAATCTCTTTTCTTTCTATTATGCTCAGCCATATATTCATCGCTGAGAAATTGCATATTTACTTTGAATTCCATTGTCTTAACAAGTATTTTTGTTTATATCTTCTTTAAATATTTTTATCCATTTATGGTTAACTATTATTAATCCTTTGAATTCTTTTATTAAATCGTTTACTTTAGTATATTGATTAAAGTATGGATGATAAGGATCTTGAATAGGCATATCTATCGGATTATTAGTATACATTTGACTGGGCTCTGCTTCTAGGGTTTCTATAGCTTCTTGATTGTATTTTAATTTTTTTCATTCTTTTTTAAGATAATCTATTCTTATTTTATTATCTAGACAAGCATTTATTTGTATTTTATCGGTCATGTAACATATTATTAACTTATGTTCTTTTTCTTGAATCCATTCTCTTGTTGAAACTATTCTTTTTTCTAATGATTGAATTCTATTTTTCTTCGGGTGAGACGTATTGCTCCCACCACCCCCTTAATAAATTCTATTTGAAAATCAAAGTTACTTAGCAAGACTTGCCATCTTGCAAAAATTTGTTTTGAAATAATGTTCTTAACATCATTTTCTAAAATTGATTTTGCTGATTGACAATCGACTCTTAGCAAAAATGGTTTCATGTATAAATCATCTTCAAATTTTTTAATAC